TAATAATAGAAAAAAAGTGTCTTTGTCAGGAATCGAAGAGTACCCAACTTCGAGTCAAGCGTGAGCAAAACGCTTAGTCCGCTCGACGATCGACAGACATAGGTAGCTATGGTCAAGAGTAATATTGAAGTTGTAAGAAGGGGGTGGGGCTTAAGTTGAAGGCTAGGTAGGGGGGCTCCCCTACTCCTACCCTCCTGGTGAGCGTTAGAGAATAATTCTTTTTCGCTTGCGCTACTAGCCGAGAGCACCTAACAGAAGTGTTGGGTATATCGCAACACTGGTCTCGGTGCCCCTTGTCAGACGTTATAACTTTTAAAACAGCTTACAGAACTCTATGTTACAAGAATTGAGTAATAAGAGATACGTTCATGTAAAAATCATGGATAATTAAATACCTCGTATTTTTCAAGAAATTAGATGTACAGTAATTGTTTAACTAAGTAATTAACGATTAATTTTTCTGAAGAATTAATGATTCTGTACTAATATTTATTCTATAAACTGCATTAAGAAACAAATGATTGACAATATACAATAATTCGTACACGTCCTTATATACTTATTTTCTACGTACGCCATAATCGTGTGAAGTAGTTTCCCACTTAATTTATGAATGTTATTTAAAGTTGACAGTCAATAATTATCATTTTCTTATATTAACAAATTTCTTTCTCTTTGTGTGTCCAAATGTTTTTGATTTTCTTCAAGAAAACTAAAAAAAAGTATTTTCAATCCACCTTGCTCTCTCTTCGAGATACAGTAGTCCTTTTCCTATTTTTTAATGGTTGATTTGTGATTATTTTTTGATAATCTTAAAACGTTAACTGCAATATCCGGCTACTAGTTTTAGGTTTATATACTAGAGTTTGAATACAATTATTAAAGTGCATTTTAATTCTTGACTTATAAACAAATCTTATGCAAATAATTTATATACATACAAGGTAGACCATTTCAAGCTTTAATAGAAAATAACTTGTTACGTGAACTGTTAATGAACAAATAATTAAACAAAAGCTGAAGGGTTCGATGGGGTACAAAAAATTGCCAACTCTACTACCCACGTGAGGCCCATCATAAGGCTCTGGAGAAAATTTCTTTTTTTTTTTTTGTCAAGAACCCTATGTTTTCTCATGTATATATATACTAGTAAGGCTTCACCTTCGACCCCCTCCCGTTCTAACTGAACAGGAGAGTCTTTAAATTTCTTCTGTTAGTGGAGGGGGGGGGGTGTGCCCAGAATTTCGTGAGGAAGAAAAGTTTTCGATCTACATCGTTAAGCATTAGCTGTATATATTAATCAGTAAATTTCCACACCACCGAGAAGGTACTATTGTGGTACGTTGAGAGTTTTTTTTTTGGAACTCACCGTTATGTTTAGAAAAAAATGTATTCATGATTTCTTTATTGATTACATTCTAAACAACGAAAATATTTCATTACTTTAATCACATATAAATTATTTAAATTTTACATAACATATACTTTATATTATTTTTGTTACTATTATGCATTCTATAGTTTATCAATTGATATAAGATGTTAAAAAAAATTATTCATTTTCAGATTCAATGACAAATATGGAAACAATTTCATCACAGTATTTCNAAATTTTTTAAAATGAACAATATAAAAGTTAGCGTAAAAGGGGACGGAAATTCTTTATTCAGAACTTTTTCTTATTTTCTGTATAGTGACGAAGATTTCCACACGAGAGCTCGTTCTTTAGTGATTAATAATTTGTACATAAATGGCAAAATTATTATGAATTTATAGTAGGAAACGATTATCATCAAAACGTAAAAAGAAGTGATAGATATATTAACATAATGTCAAAAAATAAGACTTATGGTACAAGTATTAAAATTCAAAGTCAGATTTATTTAATGTTCACGTTATAGTAAACTTCTCGAACAACGGTATTAGAACATATGGAAATTTAAATAGTAATCTTGAACTAAAAATTAATCTTACAGGAAAAATGTAATGAAAAATATTGCAACTGGTCGATCAAACATTGTATCTCCAAAAGATCATAAATGATTTTTTTTTAACTTGTAATAAATAAAGTAACTGGTTTGACATCGTTCGAAAACATTAGAATATATAAAAAAATAACTTATGAAACTTTTAAAGATACTGCAATTGCAATGAGTTTGATAGACAATGATGAAAAAATCGATGATATTTTTAAAGAAGCAATTGCTGTTGTTTCCATATCAATTAAGACAATTTTTTGCTTGGTGTTTAATTTCAGAAAACGTTCAAGGTGATGAAATATAGAATAAATACAAAGAATTTTTTACGAAGGGTTTGCCTAATAATGAAGATAATTTAGCTCTTTTACATATTAACTAAATTTTAGAATCAGAAGATAAATCATGTGGACGCTTTATTTTACTTAGACAAAAAAAATGCAGAGTAAGAAAGAAGATATGGATAATGAAATATGTGCAACATCAGTAACATTATACTGATGTAAATAGAAGATTTTGTTTATGAGATTTGAAATCTCGCGCTTTAGGATATTCTCTTACCTATAAGGGCCAATCATAAGCGTGCACGC